AAAATCAGATTGTTGCCTTACATTTGTGCTTAAATATTGTCTTCGAATTTTTTCTTGGAATGGGCAGAGCTTTGTAAATTGGAATCGTTCCAAATTACTCTTCATTTTCACTACCTAAAAAAGGTGAAAGAAATAATGAATTCAAGAGAAATCTCAAAGAACCTATAGGGATTAAAAAAAAAAAAAGAAACCACACAGGAAGGTTACTTTTCTTTTTTTAGATTTTTGGCTCCACCAGGCAGAGAAGCAATATCTAATATAATTATATTTTTTTTTAATTAAAAAATATCTATCCTAAAGGTAATAAATGATAGCTGTAGAAAAATTTTAAAAATGCAAAAGGAAGAAAATAAACATATACTTATTACATCCTACCAATCATATGAGATCATTAACACGTTCAAACGCTTCCTTAACCAATTCCCTTCTGGTAGATAATTTAGGCCATTTCCACATTTTCTTTCACAGACAATGGTAGAGGAACATCTTTATGGCTAAATATTTACAGCTAATTATTTCCTTAGGTTAAATTTCTAAATGTTGTATTTCTGGGTCAAAGCATTTTTCAAAAAGGCAGCACTAGTAGTGGAAGAACTGTTTTTAGCAACTCAGCCAACACTGATCATTTTAATTTTTTTGTTTTTTTTTGTAGATTATAGATGAAAAATGCTCTTTTCCTGTAGCTTTAAAGATAATTTATTTGAATACTACTGAGTATGAAAATTTCCTCTTAGGTGTATTGGGCCACTTGCATTCTTTAGTGAGCTGCATGTTAAAACTCTTTTGCATATTATTTTTAATGGGGCATTTATCTTTCTCTTAAATATTGTTTATAGGCGCAATCTACATAGTGAAGCTATTACCATTAATACTATAAATATTTTTCTATTTGTCAACTGTCATTTAATTGGTTAGAAGAGTTTTAGTGTAAAATAGCTAGTGCTTTATTTGTTGTCAATCTCAGTTTAGATTTCATTATCCTTAAAACATGTACCAAATAATTTTACTGATGTGACTTGTTTGGGTCTCTGTTCTTCAGTCACTCCCAGTGGCTTAGAGGTAAATACACGTTTTAAGATGTACAGTCATAAGCTATGGAACTGGTCTGGACCTCAAGTTTCTTCATCTACAAGACTGGTATCAGTACCTATTCTCTCAGGATGCTATGAGGTTTAAATGAAACGTGTGCAAAGTAAGTTATCCCAGTGTCTGGCACACGGTAAACACTTAATACAATGTTCAGGTTTCAACATAATACCTCTCACTAAGTCACACTACCACAGTAGCTGGCTGTGTTTGGAGCTGGTTCTGACCTTTTCTTCTAGGAATGGTGTATTAACAGGAAAGCAGGACCAGAAGTGCCTCAGAAGTTCCCCAACAGCCACATACAGGTGCTTCAATTCAGACTGAATATCATTTGGCACCATTTCTGCAAAACAAAGGTGCATAGGATAAAAGGTATCTTCACAGATGTATAGTCTCTGAAAGAATGAACACTCAGAGAATAAACATGAACATGTGCTCCTTGCCAATGCCAAATCAGGATATACTATTCTGAGACAAATTACTGACTTTGTGGTTGACAGATCCCAGAATTTAAATTCCCCTGAGATTTTGGAAAAACTTTTAGGTTTCTCTTTATTATAAGAGGGAGGGGTGGAAAGAAGAAAGCATTTATAATGATAATAGGGAGACTATGTGCCACTGGTTTGTAACCTTTAGACAATTCTGAAACCTCAGTTATTGTCTAGATATGTTTCAGGATCTGGATGCATAACAACAAAATAAAATCCCAGATATGCTCCAAAGAAAAACCAATGAAACGTTAGCCCTCCTGTCCTCTTGCTCCTTAGAGCTTATTTAGGTAAGCGGACAGTAGCAGAAGCTGGCCCAGCACATACGGTTTATGGCTTGCTGTGTGCCTCCCTGCATAAGCGCTCCTCCAGGCGACAGTGCTGTGATGGTGCTGCTGGCAGCACTGCTGGAGAGAACCTGAAAGACAACACAGTGGGTTTCTGCTCTTCTGCCACCTTTCTCACTTAACATTTCAGTTTTATAGCAAAATGTCCAGCAAGTCTTTATTCCTGTATAAGTACATAAGTTATTTTAAGCAGAGTGAACTACTTTCCATGAGGCCAGAAACACAGTGTGCGGAAAGAGAATACCTACCAATCTTTCAGAAGTACCAGGAAAGTCTGCAGGTACCTCGAAACTCACATGCTTTTGCCTAGTCAAGCCTTTTCTTAAGTACCGATTCAACTCAGCTTGTGAACTCTTACCAAAGGTAAAATTGAGTTTAAGAAAATAAGTCAACTGAAATAACGTGTTAACATATATCCTTGCTGGCAAGCGGGGAAACATAAAACCCTAATAGAACAGAAATACATCAGTTGTCATTTTTCAAGGAAGTGAATACACATACTTAGCTAAAAGGGGAAAAAAATGTATTCCCCACTGTGTTCATATCAACATTTAGGGACATAATTGACTAATCTATTCAACAAGTGCCTAACAAGTGCTAGGCACTGTGGCTACAGAGAGAACAAATAATTTGTTGAATAACTCAAGTGTAGGGCTAGTGTATTTAAAGTTTTTCAATGGAGTTTTCACAAATATAAATCCATGAGTGTATGGGCTGGTTAAAAAAAAAAAAATTTAAGCTTGGTATTGAGTACAGCACATGACAACCATGAGCCAAAGGGAGTTCACTTTACTCCTATTTCCTTTTGTCAGAAATTTTATAATGTTGTAACCAGAAGTTTCTGTGATTGCTGAGCTTGCTGACTAGCCACTGGCTGCACTCAGGTATACACATCCAGACAGACAGGTAAGTCTCTTGGGCCTTCCTGACTCAATTCATGTGTCTATAGATAATGAAATCACTTTTGGGGGGAGTGGGGGAGTGGGGTATAGAGTAGATGGGGGGAACAATCTAACAATTTAAGACTGACCACAGATTAAAAGAGTTAGGTGGGTCTACCTTGGGCAATTACAGACTAGAAGGAAAGAAGTAGTCAAATAAGGCCAGATTTGTTATGTGTGCACACCATGTGCATATATATATTTCCTAGTTCTGTCTGCTGAGGTGACAATCATACCAGTAGTAAATGACACCCCAACAGCAAAGAATATACCCAGTATTGGGATCTTTGTTTCTAAATCTACTCAGTACTAAAAGGAAGATTCTGTGGCTGGGGCAGGGAAAGCATAAGATGAAGCTGAAACACCTATCTCATTGTGCCATAAAGTACGAGGTCCTCAAAATTCATAACGACATTATCAGAAAGATACAGGAGCCAGTGTGAAGGGCTTGGGTCTAAAGGGGCACAGGTACATTTCTGGGGGTGACAAAACTGAATTTTCTATCTTGATGGTGTTGGTGGTTTTACAACTGTATATGTTTATTTACACTCAGAATAGATTATAAAAAAGGTAAATTTTACTGTGTGTAAATTATACCTAAGTTTAAAAAAATAGCAATAATTTATAACCCATAGACTAATGTAAGAATCCATGGATCCATGCAAATATAAATAAATAAATACAGGAGGAGGGAAGGAAGCTCCTCCTTTTAGCAGAATGTCAATTGGTAAATGTAGGATGGATGATGGATAGAAAATCACCATTTAACCACAACCATGTAATAACCGTTTTTGACAAGAATCACCAATGGATTTTAAAAAACTAGTGGGTAAAAGTTTGATGGGAAATAGAATATTTACGTATTCTTAAAGTATCTCCCCACAAGATACTTATTAATTACAAAGGGAAAAACAATAACTTTTTGGTGAAGAAACAAGGCAGATACTTCCTTAAACAAGTAATCAAAGTTAATATCACAAGTTAGGACATATAAGTACGTGCCTTCTGATGTGACCCACGAGGACAACACATCACTTAGATATTACTTATGTGTTATTCCTGCCAAAATGTATAACGTGAATACAATCCTAAGGAAACATTAGAGACACTCAAATTGAGGGCAGTCTACAAAAAACTGGCTTGTACTCTTCAAATATCAAGGTTATAAAGGCAGAAAGATTGAAAAAGGATTCCATTTTAAAGGAGACTAAAGAGACATGAGAACTAAAGGCAACGCATGAACCTGACTTGGATGCTGAACCAAAAACGTTTTCTTTTGCTATAAAGGACGTTACTGGTACAATTGGTGAAAGTTTTGTAAGACCTTTAGGTTAGATAACACTTTTTTTTTTTAAGTGGTGAAAGAGAAGTTTATTAGAAGAGCTAGTGCACTCCAAAGCATTGGGAGTGGGCCTGAGCACAAAGAAAAGTGGCTCAAGGGCCATTATTAGAATAAGTACACTTCACAAGGTTAGGGCAGGCCATGGCTCAAAGGCCCAGGTAATACTTTGTTAATGTTAACTAATTGTTTCTATAACTTTAAGTGTTACTTATGAGAATATCTTGTTTTAGGAAACACACACTGAAATATTTAGGGGTAAAGGGATCTATTCTCAAAATGGGTCAGAAAACATTTTTTAAACTTTCTGTGAATCTGCGATTAGTTCAAAATAAAAAGTAAATATAAGTCCCAATATGTGATAAGCACTACAATACAGGTTAGGAACTCAGTGCCTCTGTATTTATGAAAACAGAGAAAAGGATAAAAATTTGTTACTGGGCAGGTTGAGGATTGCTTTACAGAGGCAATGAAATCTGAGCTGAGTCTTGAGTAATTGTTAGTTTCCCAGGGGCAGAACAGGCTAAGTCAGCGGTTCTCAACCTTCCTAATGNGGATGTTAGTTTTGTCTGGAAACTATATAAAAATCATCTTTTCTGCTTAATGGGCAGCAGTGGTTCCACAGCACCAATTAGAAGAGATGAACACCACACCCTCCTGTAAGGCTGTACGTGACCTCAGAATCCGTTTACCACACTGCTCCAGGTCGTTACAATCAACTAAGAAGGCACATGAGCCGAAACCTATTTGTCATCCTTGCCCTGCTACAGGAAGACACTTTAAGCCTCTTTTCTGATTTTAAGTAACACTGTTGTATTTTGAGAGAAACCACTTAGAATGTTTAAGGAATAAACACTTACTAAAAATCTTACTGATGAAGCTTTTTCAGCTTTCAATTGTAAAACTCCCTTTTTTGATTACCCTACTTACTAAAATACTGAATCCTAAGTTTCTATATATACTTTTCTTTCCCAGTAATCTGAGAGGATTTGCATAATACACACAAGAAACGACCTTGTGTGGTTGCTCTAGTCTTACATTAAAAACAAAACAGGGGGTTGGGAGTGGGGTGGTGGATTGGGGAAGGGAGGGTTGTAATTTTGTGAGGGGTAAAAAGTATAACTATTGCACTGTTTTGTACATCTGAAACTAATAAAAAATTAATTAATTAATTAAAAAAAAAGAAAAAACAAAGTGAAAAATCCTGGGCACCAAGTGACACTTCACTACCTCTTCCACTGCCCCACTCTGCTATAAACAATGAGGGGAGCTTCCGGTAGACCATAACCCAGAAAATTTGTGACTTCCTACCAGAGTGACAATTCTGCATTTCTTTGCATTGCTGGGTTTGTACTTGCTACTCAGGTTTTCAAAATACATATTTTTTAGAAACACATACAGGATGTCAATTTATAAAGAAATACATGGAGATGATTATTACAAATGCCTGGTTAGTCATGGCCTTGGGGGACAGTGAAGGAGGCATAGGGAACTGGACAGGGGTACTCAGAGAATCCTTGTGGGGACTGTAAGTGTTCCATTTTTTACCATGATTGGTGAGCACAATTTATTTTATTATTTTAAAAAGCACACGTATTTTAAATATTCTTCTAAATGTTATGATACATTTTAGAATTAAAAAACAGTATCCAAGCAACAGAAAACAAAAAACAATGTACCTACTCATTTACATGAAAACAAAGTTCATTTTATCATTTTACTACACAGAGAAA